AATAAAATTTTATTCTAAATTTAGGAATATTGGACAAAAATCTATAACTGGTTGGAAAAAAATGAGAAAATACCAATGCAGGAGGAAGTTATTCAGAAAATAATAGAACGAGCTGAAATGAGTAAATTGACATTTGAAATTAGAGAACAAGAAGATAAACAATTTTATAAGATATGGGATTTATTTTATCAATGGTTAATAAAAAATATGGAAATGAAAGATACTAGAGAATGTTATGAATAAAAGAATAATAGAATGATATTGAATATAACATAAAGATATATTATTATTGGATAGATTGAAGATGATGTAATGAATTGTTATAATATAAATGAACCCAACATTTAGAATATCTTGTTTAAAACAAGGTATAATGATAATAATGTATACAAACATATTCAATTTGATATTATGTGATTCATATAAATTGCAAGTGATGACTATGGAAAGAATGCACAAAAACCTTGTAACCAATTGACACACTGTATGTAATGGAAGATGTTTTTATGTTTTGTTTTATGTCTTGTTTATCTATGTTTGTCTAAAAATAAAAAAATTTTATACAAAAAAAAAAAAAAATGCAAGTAGAAAAATAGGGACCACCTTTGGTGGGAAAGTAACAGTGTTCCGTGTGCTTTCGGTGTTTAGTCATGCCGGCCACATGACCACGGAGATGTCTTTGGACAGCGCTCGCTTTTCGGCTTTGAAATGAAGATGAGCACCGCCCCCGAGAGTCGGGAACGACTAGCACATATGTGCAAGGGGAACCTTTACCTATACCTATTATTATACTTATCAAAGGAAGGCAAAATGTCTAGCCCCCATCAACGGACACAGGCATCTTTTGATGCAGAAATACCGCAATAACAAGCTCTCCCGAACCCACATTTTCTTTTTTTTCTTTTTTTTCTGTTTCTAACGTCTAGGTGGAAACAAGGACGGCAAAACGGAAATGGGAGTCTCAGCACCTGAAAGAGCTGAGAGAGGAAGAGGAGAAAACGCTCCTGCAAGGGAAAGAGGAAGAGCTTTTCACTTACACTCGAGAAGATGCCTATAACAAAGTAAACACTTTCCCCAGCTTTTCCCCCTCGTCTTGAAGGTCTGGAAACATTTCCAGGCTTGGGGGCTTGTCTGGTGCTTTCCTGTCACAACCCACATCCACCATCTTTTCAATGCCGCCCTTCTCCCATTGCTGTAAATTAACATCTCCAAGTTAGCTCTAGCTGAGGTCAATTTTCAGGAGTAGGGAAGCTGTTGTGGCGGCGGCTGTCGACTTTTCTCTTCACTCAGCTTTTTTCTCTTCTTTGCTTCCCAGCCAACGATGCCCTTTGGGGATTACAGTCTCCCTTTTGGAGGCAGTGGGGGATCCCCTTAGATGATGCTCCCTATTTTGAACTGGCTGTGAAGAGGGGATATTAAGAAGTGGGGTTCATTTTTCATAACATTGAAACTGAATAAACCTCTCTTTGTCCTTCCTCTCCTCCCCACTACCACCATCCCTGGCACTACAGGAGTATTTTTACGAAGGACCAGATGGACAAACTGAAATAATGCCAGTAAGTCCTTCTCCTGCTTTTCTTCCCATTCTCCTCCTTTCATCCTCCTCCTCCTCCCCTCCTCTTTCTATCTCTTCCTCCTATCCTCCTCCCGTTCTCCTTATCTTCCTCCTTCCATCTTTCTCCCATTCTACTTCCATTTTCCTTCCATATTCACCTGGGGTGAAATCCACTTAACTTTGCTACTGGTTCGGTAGCAATGTGAGCGCGCACATGCGCCACCTTAGCACATGCGCAGTATCTCCCGTACCTGCGCAGACCGTCAAAAAGGTAAGGTAAGTGAACAGCAGAGGGGAGGGGAGGAATCTGCTGTGCAAATCCTGCTTTGCAGCTAATATAAATTGCACGTCACAGCTCATCATCAGAAAAACCGGTTCGCCCAAATCGGTTTCATTTATTTTACTACCAGTTCTGCTAACCAGTAGCCTTTTTACTACCAATCCAGGCGAACCGATCCAAACCGGTAGCATTTCACCCGATTCTCTTCCTCTCCTCCTCCTCCCATTCTCCTCCTCCTATTCTCCTCCTCCCATCCTCCTTCTATTCTCCTCCTCCTCCCATTCTTCCCTTCTTCCCATTCTCCTCCTCCTATTCTCCTCCTCCCATCCTCCTTCTATTCTCCTCCTCCTCCCATTCTTCCCTTCTTCCCATTCTCCTCCTCCTATTC